TTTTAGCCGTGTTGCATCGGGTTTGTATTCGAGATTCAGAGTAGAAGTCCAGTCAAAAAGGAGCTGGGCGCTTATCTTAGATAATAGTTTTAGTTCTGTTAGTCTTCGAGATATATCACGTAAGACGTCATTTCTCAACTTTTGTGAAATATGTCTATGCTATATGTTACAGCAACGTCCAGAAGACAAAGTGGAAATAGGATGTATACTGTCACTTGGTACCGGTCAAATACCTTTGTCTCCTTTGGATCCTTTACATGTGGAAATTTTCAATCCGATCTCCAGTGCCTTCACTTTCAAGAATCTTAGTCTTATTCTTGTTGATCAAGTAGGGCTTAATTCAGTTTAGCAGCATTCTAACTCTTTGTTGATTTTTTCTACTGTACAACTTTCGCTTAAAACGCAGGTGACAGCGACGGAAGGAGCCCCTGTTGATCGTTCCAGATCGTGGTGCAATGCAATTGGTGTGCCATTCTTCCGTCTCAGTGCCCCTTTACATAAGGTAGAATCAGGATAGATTTTCTACACTCTTTCACTACAAAATCCCTTTTTCAGGACATCGGGCTAGGGACTAAAGACGATCATGATATTGCACATATGATGTGGGATTGTATCGAATATACTCATAAGCATCATTCTTACATTGTGAAAATTTGTGCTCTTCTCAAGCGGCTCGGCAAAACTCCATTAGATCGTCCACGTGCTTTGTCATCTCCCATGGTAATGGGGATAGGGTCAGAAACTTGAATCCTTTTGTTTACATCTCTGTGTTGTCCTCTTTCCGCTTCGTAGACGCATTTACATAACTGTGATTACATTCTTGTGGGTCATCTCGTACTCATGATAATGATCTTCGCTCTTGCTTTGATTTTAAAATATTGTAGGTGTTCAGACAGTCACAATATAAGTCAAAAGGTAAGGTTATTTATGAACTCTTCCTGACCGAGTTTACAGTTGAAGATTTGCCTAGTGCATTATCTAGGTCTTGATTTTCTTATATGATCTTTTCTATGTATTGTTGTAATACAAGCTACGAGAAGGGCGCTTGTACAGCGTAGTTTAACCATTAGTCCAGCTTGTATGCTCTTTTGTGATGTACATAGTATCGTGAATATATGTCTGCTCTAAGCTTGACGTTCTTGAAATGAACACAGATGTAGACAAGCCGATTTGCCACAAAGTGGTTTTACTCCAAATTATATGATTTTTGTTTTAAGGTCTTTCCATACTTGCTTGACAACTGCTTTTTAAGATGCTTCGTCAGGCAAATGAGTGCCGTACTTTCATAAATGTTATTAGTTATTACTGATATTGTTCATGAATACTGCTAGTCATCATTCCATCTTCGAGTTTAGAAAAGTACGTGTTATCATAGTCAATGTCTTCCGTGAAGTGCATAGCGCATTCCTCAAGATTTGAACTGTTTCTCATATGTAAACTTACTTTTATCCTTTGTATCTCTAACTTTGTTGCTGTGTCAACAGTTATGTGGGGTGGACATATAACTCCTCGATTTCTTTCTTTCTCGAGCTTTACAGAATGTTAAATGCAGCTGCTTGAGCACGTGTAAGGCATTCTTTCTTTTGTTCAATTTATTCGATTCACTTCGCTGTCGCAGGAAGAAATAAATTTAGCAGACATCCTAGGCTCATTTGACTTGTGGTGCTTGAAGGCCTATACTCCTGATCAGTAATAATTATAACAACCATGTTTTTTTTTCATCGAGGCGTGAACATTAATATATTAAGGAATATGTGATTTCCAAGAAAGTTAATATTCATTGTAAATAAAGGCGGATTGGCATCAGGAAGCACTTTAAGAAAAGTTGGCATGCGCCCGAGCAAAAGGTATGCTAGTCTCTGCAAGAGAGCTGCATTTCGAAAATTCAAGCGTCGATTCCCTGCGAAATGCAATTGCTTTTTGTTTATATTTAGGGTTTTATGCAAAAAATAAAGAATGCCAAAATTTATAGAACTTTGAAATGTGTCTATGCTCTTAGACGACTTAGATACGTATAATAACATTTTTTACTACCAAATATGTTATCATGCAAACATTGAACTATCGCAGGGGATAGACGTGATTGAAATTGTACATGCAGATTTCTAGAGGTACGTTATTATGCCTGTTCTTCG